GTATCTTATGTTACCTGTTTGTATAACAATTTGAAATGAGAAGGTGGGAGAGCAAGGAGTAAATAATCTGAAGGTCCAGACTCTGTTTAAAAAATAAAAATCACAAAAGACACATATTTTATCCTTGATGCTGCTGAGCTCAAGTATTTATGCCAAGGATTTTAGGGCCCTTCACTTGTGGTTTGGCAACAACTTCACACAAATGTGTTGCCCTGGTAGTCTCTTAGCCATTTAAGATAAATGACAAAATCAAATGCAGTCCATGCAGACTGAAGTGCTGAATGCAGTGCCAAGGATGAAGTATTTCTATTGGATTCACATCTGTAGCTATCAGATCACCATTCTAGCTATAGTTTTCAGACTGGGACAAATAGATGAAAAACATGAGGAGGGTAAATGCTATTTTTTAATGAAAAACTAGGCCTTCTAGGCAAATAGGGAGGAGGAAATCATAAGTAATAGTTATAGTTTATTTTTAATAGTATTTATACAACACTTTTCCTCAACTGTGTCTGAGATGCAATAAATCCAGTAACAACAGCAGTTAATAAAGACATAAAACAATAAAACTGTACTGAAACATTGAAACAAATTTAAGGCACTACTAGTAAATTAAATGACTGTTCACATAAATAGATTAAAAAGAAATCTTCTTTCCCCCTAAAAAGAAAGGATGTAAACAATTTTAGCTCCTGATTCAGAATAGTCTGAAAGGTAGCATCCAGACATCTCTGACCAGGAAAGTTTGTTTCGGCTCATACTTAGGCAAGTTCATAAAGAAGGTAGTTCTGCAGATAATCAGCACATAAACTGTTTACAGATAAGAGAAAACAATTAACAACTTTTGCAAAACCTTCAAGCAGTGGTGGGATTTAGCCAGTTTGCACCACTTCGGAAGAACTGGTTGTTAAGTTTCTGAGCAGTTTGGTGAATTGGTTGTTGAAATAAATCATTAGATCAGAGAACCGGTTGTTAAATTATTTAAATCCCACCACTGTCTTCAAGTAATATGAGTAATATGACCATAATAACCGGTATCAATTTGCAGTTTAGCAGTCTTTTTGTAGCATTTGATGCTTCTTCAAGCATAGTCCAATTTGAAAGAGCTTACTATATGATGTGATAAATATGCAGGATCCAATTTGAGTCAGTCACCAGGACCAGAGATGACCGACCCAGATTCATCTTCATTGAAGATGGGCTCCAGCATGAGTCCAAAAGCTATGAAGGCAAAACCTCTGGTCCCAGTGACCGATCCAGATTGGCTCCTGTAAAAGTGTGATATAAATAACGTTGCCAGATCAGGCTAATTCTGAAATAGTCACAGATAGCAAATTTTAAGTATTCATATATTTAAATACTTGCAGATCCAGAGATCCTACTATTAAGTGGCAGTCCCAAGACAGACATATATTTTATGAACAGGTTCCACAACATGTTCCACAGATTGGATTCCAATACTTAGATAAGGGTTACTGATAATCATAGCAGATTAATATCTTATCTGGATTTAGTCTCTTGCTTCATGCAGTTCTTTACTGAACACAAGCAGTTTTCAAAGTCAAATGGTTAAGGTGATGACCTGGAAATCAAAAGACAGCAAGTTCAACTCCCACCTTACTCACGAAAGCTAGCTTTGAGTCATTCACTCTCTCTCAGCTCAACTCACATCACATGGTTGTTGTGGGAAAAATTGGAGGAGGAAGGAGTATTAGATATGTTTTCTATCTTGAGTTACTTATAACATAATAAAGTTGGGATAAAAATCTAATAATGTTAACTTTAATAAATAATAAAATTATTAATATTATAAGTCTAACATTGCCTTAGAGTTAGGTGACAGGGAACAGTTCAAGTAAGAGGTATTACCATATATGGAGGATAATACTTCAGATTATTTTCCCAGTGATATTAAGTAGCTTTTAAATAATGTAAAAGCATAGAACATGTACTAGGCAATAGCTTCAGTGCTAAACAGTTGTCCTTTAGCCCAATTTTAGATCACTATAATATAGTGTCCATATCATAATACATGTCTATCCCTCAAAACCTGTTTAGAAGCTTCCTATCACTAACAATCTCCAAAAGCATGTCATAACCAGGATCCAGTTCCTATTTCTAACATTCACCAAGCCAACCAAGGGCACTTTCTCAGTTAAAATTATAATTTAAATAATTTTGTGTGATTTCTGAAATAAAATTGATATATAGTGAATAGCTTAGGTGTTTTTTATTATGCATTTTGTTATTTGTTTTGTTGTATTCCCATTTCTTTCAAATATTTGTATTTTATACTTGTAAGCTTATTACAGAAACTGCAGTTGATTACTACAATAAGTATATTGATTCAAGAGCATCAGGTTGATGGCAGCCAAATACTTAGTTATTGAAAAATGGGTACAGCATCCTGAGTTCTAACTAAAAGTTAACTTCATGCAATGTGTCTGGGTTATGCTTGTATTTAATTGCTTAAGTCATTCTGATGACTGCCAAGAGAGCAAGAGGGAAAGCATTTCCAACACACCAGAAACAGAGACTAAATACAGTTCTAAATAACAGATGATTTCTAGATATGTGTGTATGCGTTTTAAATGAATAATACAGTTTGAGGGTACAATGCTTCTTTCCAGCTATTAGCTACAAAGAAAGGTTATGTTCTGTATAGACTTAACATGGGAAATATAATGCAGAAATGAAACATGTAGAATGCATTGTTGGCTGCAGCTCAAGTAGCGACAAAGCCACAATGGGCCATAAATGCTTTATTCTGGGAGCTTGATTCCTGGCAGTTGTATGAAGTTGTTTCAGCTATGAGTTGTGGCAATTTGTGTTAGTGTGCTGGGCCTGGTTTAGTAGTAACTTGGCAAGCAGCTGCCCCCCTTTATTCTCTTGGCGAGATGAATTAGAATGGCCATAAACAGTAATCCCCTTTCAATCTGATTCCTAAGCACATGCCCTATAGCTCTGGCGATGTCCCCTAGTGCTCCTCTCTAATGCCTATAAGATGATTTATCTCATACATTGTCCCCTCCTATCACTCGTCCATTTTTGGTTTCTTCATAACAGCGGGAATGTTGCTGAGAACTCTTACAGGGTTGTTATGACAGGTTATTTCCTGCATATGAATCTGTTTTATCAGAAGTGGCGTTTTTGACCTGGTAAATTATGGTCAGAGCAGCTCTTGAGAGTGGGCAAAAATACATAAACTATCAAAAAGATTTTAGCAACTCTCAGTTATTTAGTACACTATTGGAAAATGTCTGTCTAAATATTTTTTTTTGTAGCACTATTTTGGTTTTTAGGACAAACAAAACAACAGTATTAATTTATATTTGTACGGAACAACTGGCATGTTCTTTTTAAAGCACATTTCTTTGCTGCTTGGCACTTCCAGAAATAAATCACACATTTCTGGAGACTGACAGAAGTTTGCTAGGATGCTGGCCATTTTGCCACATGATACATAGCTAAACTCTACCTGTAATCTTTTTGTTTATACTATGGAGGGATAAAAATAGAAAGAAAAAAGCCAATAAACAACTAATAATCTAGTCACAGATAGATTAAGATGTTAGTGACTCTATAAAGGTAGTCCTCAGATTGAGACTGTAATGGAGCTTGCCGATTAGGCTGATAAATTGAAATGGTAATAAAACATGACCGACCTGATTTTATTACTTTTTTTGGTAAGTGTGAATTCTATAGTCAAGTGAACACTGTGGTTATTAAGATAACCCATGGTTTTTCTGTGGTGAAGTTTTCCAAAAACCAGAAGTGTTAGTTTTATGCAAATTTGTTGTAAAGTGTAGTGATGTGACTGTAGAATGCTGCAAATGGCTGTAAAAGTGGCTATGTTGCCAAGCGCCCAAAGTGGGGTTGCATAACATAAGGCCATTTTTTTCAGGTCAGTCATAAGTTTGAACAATTGTTAAGCGACCAGTCGAATATCAAGGACTGCATATCTATCAATGTCTTGAGAGTTACTGAGGAAGAAGAAAAATAACACCAAAATAATTGCTTATGCGTTTATATTTATATTCTCTTCCTTTGAGAAGATCTGGCATAGGGAAAGAAAATATTTCCTTGGTGGATATACAGATAAAAAGAAAAAAAATCCCATAGACAAACCAAATAAAATAAGGATGATCAAAATTTATCATCTAGATCAGAGATTCTTTAACTATGCTTTTCATAGTAATTTTTTTTCTTTGGTATTATGACTGCAGCCTTTGTTCATTCACTTATTTATATAGTTATTCTAGTACTATACTGAATCTCATCCCATGTACTTGATGGTTTACAAATAAATAGTACTAACATATTTGGCATTTAAAAAAACGGGGGATGATACAGTCATCTATCCTTCTCAGAGGAAAGGCCTTAGTGGAGAGAGAAGCCTTTCTACTGACTACCGTCTCTTTCTGCCCTGTGAGTAGTGCATGGGTAGAAGGAATAACCTTGAGAAACAGGAGGAAGACAAATAACCAGGGCAGGGACTAGATAAAACAAACCTGAGTCCAGGCTAGAGGTGTAAACTAACAAAGCATATCAGAAAGAACTCTGCCTAGTTCTCAGGATGATAAAGAGAGAGAAGTGCATTCAGACTTGCAAGATTCTTTTATTATAATCTTATAATACAAGTAGTATTTGCATGGATGTTTTCCTAGTTAGGTCTGCGTTGAAAGGCTGACATCAGTCACACAATCTCTATGCACTTCCTCCTCCCGCCTGTTATCTTCCTGAAAACAAGGGAGCGTCTTTTCTGAGATGCTTATTCACCTTATAGTTGCAGACTCAGACTCAGATTCCCCCCCCTCCCTAACAGTTAGCTTGGTTGTGGCTTTTTATCCAGTTCCTCAAGGTTAGCCTCCTTCCTTCCATTACAGTTTGTTAAGCAAATATGTACTGTAGGTCATGCCAGCCCTACATTGCTCCTATTCTCCATCTCTGCTTTCAAACATCGGTACCACTGACAGATTTTTCTATTGTTTTTTCCTCAGGGCCGTCCAGGCCTGCAAAGCTGCCGGCGGCCTCCATAACTGCCTCCTCCCACCCTCATGCATCAGTGATCGCACCGCCACCTCTCCGTGCTCTAACCTCAGTCCCGCCCTGCCTGAGCCTGCCCTGCTGTGGTGCGCGCGCAATCTCAGTTGGCGGGTCTCAGAGTGAGACATCAGGCACATTTGGATGTCATTGTCAGTTGTCAGGTAACAGAAACATTTTATTTTTGCTCTCTGAAGATCAGCTCCCAACGTGATATATCTCTGGAAGCATCAGGCTCATTTGGATTTAAGGATAGAGCTAAAGCACTAGAAATCTTCCTTATCATTGCTGAGACAGGAATTGAAACCAGTTTGGTCTTGTTTTGCCGGGGGTGTGGGCTAGTTGATCTCAGATGTTGCCACCAACACTGGGGCTGAGGGTTTGTTTACACTGCATTGTGATCAAATGTCTGAGAATCCTCATACAAATGTGATACTCTGATATCAAGATTTCATCTCTCTGGGCTGTTTATGCTAAACTTAATTGGATAACAGTTAGCATCTGAAGTCTTTCTTCCTGATGATTTGCGTTCTTCAGATCTCATTGGAACATGGCATACTTGTGGTCCGCACACTTTCCCTCCACTGCTATAAAAGCCTCTCATTAATTTTGTCTTTGTTCCATCACTGACTTGTATGGAAAGCAATGAAAGGAAACCAATCTTTATGGAAAAGACTTTGTAAATATTGAATACCACTGAAAAAGTAGTCCACTAATTTTACCCAGATTTGGCCAACACCCAAAGCAAGTTCAATGGGAGAAGTTCAATAGCTGGTGATGACCCATTGGAGTCCCTATCTTAGGATACAGTGAAGCAAAACAAGTATATCTTTATGAAGTGCATAATTTAACAATGATATCCACAGCTCCAGCATTCGATGATAGTTGGCTTTCATGACTACTAATTAGAAGGGCTAAAAGCAAGGTTTATGCAGAGGTAACATGTCTTTGAATAATAACTGCTGGGACAAAATAATGGTGCCCTCAAGTTTGATTGAGCATGGTGGGAACCAAAATATTAAATGAAATGAATCTCTAGGCTCATCTTTAGCTCTTAAATAGCAAAGGAAAAATCAGACTGAAATGTGGAAGAAAAATTATTCTTCTAAAATTTTATTTATTGCTTGAAGTTTGTCAAATCTTTGATTATGCTATAAATGAAGTTTGAATAATGCCTTTTTGAGAGATTCTCATTTTCTTCTTGTAATATATTAAGGCTACCATTAGTAAGAAAATCCTTCCAGAAGATCGGGATTTGACTTACTTCTACTACAAATATTCATAATATGTAACAAAAACATATTATCAATAATCTACAAATTTAATATGATCTAATAAAGAGATGGACATACAAAAGAAAAAAGTAACAATTTTATACGGAGAAAAGTTAAAGAATAAAAGGAAAAGCAAAAAGGTGAGAAATGGACCAAGCAAGAATGAATGAAATATAAATATTTGGGTTGCAATTAACAATGAATTCTACACATGTACAATTTTACATAAATGTAAGTTGAAGGGATTTATTTTATGTTTTAACACTCTTTCAAACCACTGTAGCTAGCATTCATTTATTGCAACAAGTTAGCCACACATATTGTCTAAGGCTTATGGTGCTTATTATTGCAATTATACATTTTTATTTCTTTGGCATAGACTGATTTGTCAGGCATAAAAAC